TTTGAAACGCACACCTGAAACATTTTTATTTTATTTCAATACTGGTCTTACAAATGGTTGCTATGCTAACCATACTGTCTTAATCAATAGCCAGACTTATTTTTGTATCAAACGGGTAATAACAGTCCTCTAAATTCTAATTGTGATCCGTGAATTGTCAAATTTTGTACTAAAACTAATCAACTAGAAACGCTAGATAATGAAAGAGGAACAAATTTAGCTGTACATTTAATATTTTTTTCTTCCGTTTTTTTTTCAGAAAGAAAATTTGGATTTAAGACTAGAAATGGCAAATCATTCCATCTCCAACAAAAACTGTAAATGTGATGTTTGTGGTAAATCATTCGCATACCCTTGCCATTTAACTCAGCATATTCTAATTCATACTGGTGAGATATTTGTAGGAAGTCTTTTGCTTCTAGTAGCTCTCTAGGGAAACACACCAGAACTCATACCGGACAGAAACCCTATTCTTGTGATGTTTGTTTTAAATCATTTACAACAAGAAGTAATCTAAGCTCACACAACAAAATCCATACAGGTGAAAAAAAACTTTTCTTGTGATGTTTGTGGTAAATCATTTACGACTCTTAGATCTTTACAAAGACACACAAAGATTCATACTGGAGTAAAGCAATTTTCGTGTGATGTTTGTAGTAAATCTTTTAGGACTAATTGGTCCCTACAGCAACACATCAGAACCCATACTGCAGAAAAACCCTTTTCTTGTGATGTTTGTAGAAAGTCATTCAGATTTAGGCGTGATCTACAGGTACACACTATAACTCATACCGGGGAGAAACCCTTTACTTGTGATGTTTGCAGAAAGTCATTTTCTAGGAGGGATTCTTTACGGGGACACACCAGAACTCATACTAGAGTGAAACCCTTTTCTTGTGATGTTTGTGGTAAATCATTTACGGCTAAAAATGATTTAAAAAGACACACACAAATTCATACTGAAGAAAAACAATTTTCATGTGATGTTTGCAGTAAATCTTTTAGGAGAGAGAGAGAAATAGTGTAGAAAATTGTTTTCTACCCTGGGTGGTCTACATCAGCACATCATGACCCATATTGGAGAAAAACACTTTTCTTGTGAAGTTTGTACAAAGTCGTTTACAACTGGAGCTGCTCTACGGGTGCACACCAGATCTCATACAGGGAAAAAACACTTTTCTTGTGATGTTTGTAGTAAATCATTTATCACAAATAGTAATCTAAAGCTACACATGCGATTACATACTAGAGAATAATTCATTTCTTGTGATGTAAGCAGAACATGTACCCCATTTTCAGACAATATAAATATGTATATGTACAATTTGCTCGAATAAAGAAGTATTATCTTGAGGACATTATTATTGTCCCTCGCCTTTCGAAGAAAGCGGGAGACTATTAAAATGGGTTCGTCCGTCTGTCTGTCCGCCACACTTTTTTTGGACACAATAACTCTTTCTAATTGGTGTAGGTGTTTATTAGGTCAATGCCTTGACACTTTTTTGGGACACAATAACTCTCTTTCTAATTGGTGTAGGTGTTTATTAGGTCAATGCCTTGATGGAGTTCGAAGATGAGCATTTTATACTTAGGGTAAGCAGAAATGAGCAATTTGATGGGTTGATGCTTTGGGGCACGATAACTTTAGTTCTATGTAAAGTGATTAAACTTGGTGTATAGTTTCACTACATCAATACCTTGATTAAGTTTGATAATGAGCATGTTCTGCTCCGGGTAAGCAGAGCGATAAGCAATTTGATTGGCCGAGAATTTGGAACACAATCACTCTCCTTCTAATTGAGCTAGAATTTTCAAACTTTATGTAAGTGTTTATTACGTCAATGCCTTGATGGAGTTCGAAGATGGGCATTTTCTGCTTAGGGTAAGCAGAGATAAGCAATTTGATTGGTTGATACTTTGGGACACGATACATTTAGTTATAATTAAGTGAGAGTGATGAAACTTGGTGTATAGTTTCACTACATCAATACCTTGATAAAGTTTGATAATGAGCATGTTCTGCTCAGGGTAAGCAGAGCGATAAGCAATTTGATTGGTCGAGACTTTGGAACACAATAACTCGATTCTAATTGAGTCAGAATGTTCACACTTGGCGTAGGTGTTTATTAGGTGAATGCCTTGATGGAGTTCGAAGATGAGTTTTATGCTAAGGGTAAGCAGAGATAAGCAATTTGATTGGTTGATGCTTTGCGGCACGATAACTTTAGTTCTAATTAAGTGACAGTGAGGACACTTGGTGTATAGCTTTATTACATCAATACCATGACTAAGTTCGATAATGGACATTTTTTGCTGAGGGTAAGCAGAGATAAGCTATCTGATTGGATGATGCTTTGGGGCACGATAACTTTGGTTATAATGAAGTGAGAACGATGGAACTCCGAAATAAATTTAATATATCATTACCTTGACTAAGTTCGATGGTGGGAATTTTCTGCTTAGGCTAAGGAGCGATAAACAATTTGATTGTTCAAGAATTAGGAACATAACAACTCTGCTTTTAATTGAGGTAAAATGTTTAAACTTGATGTAGATGTTCATTAGGTGATAGTTAAAGATGGATTACTTCAGTTAAAGAAGAGACATTAACTTTGTACAGAATCTGTTTAATTAGTTTGTTATTAATACAACACGAAGACTATTCTAATGTGTCATCACAGCTGAAAAATGAAACAACACGAAGACTATTCTAATTATTATTATTATGTATATGTTTTATGCAATTTAACCAGGAACTATTTGTACCATATGGAAACTGGTTAATATAACCGTAGTATCTTTGAAAGGCATTTAGTGAAAGCGATATATAATAAACAGACAGTTTTATGGATAACATTTACTAGTTTTATTAACTGCAACGTTATCAAGGATATTCTCACCGTTGCAATTGCTTTATTTTTATCGATGAAACGTTGCAGTTAATAAACCTAGTAAAAGTTATCCATAAAACTGTCTGTTTATAATATAATGGTAATAGCTTTTTTTTCGAATCCACATGATGTATTTATGTATTTTATATTTTGTGTAATGATACGTTGATAAAACTGTTTAAAGCGTGAATTTCATATTTTCTAAGAAAGTCAAAACATAATTATTTCTATGTCTTTTGCTCAGTAGGTTATCAACTCACTATTATACGACCATGGGCATTATTTCCCACCCTTAAAAATCATTGACACAGGAAATAATAACACAATTACATCACTTGTTTTCCTTTTGCCTCCATGCATTAGCTACATTCAAACGTTGGAATTTGAAGTTGAAAATGATATTTTTGCCAATTTGTAAAATTTCAACAAATAACCTTCTAGTTTAACACTTCAACCTCGTGGGTCTCTGGGTCCTCCGTTTTTCTCCCACTTCTAAAGACCCCTACGCGCAAGCGAATTATTGAAATAAAATTGAACCATGTGTTATTCCCGAAATAACCTAGTTTGTGTAGCGTGGACGTTAAACCACATTTCTCTCTCTCTCTCTCCATAAGATGGAGGATCTGGCAAAGGATAATGTGTAGTCCTTCGGATGAGACGGAAACCCGAGGTCTCGCGTACACATTGGCGGGCATGTAAAATAATCCTAATTGATAGTTGTAATTCGAAATACGAGTAGGTCGTAGCATCTATATCCGTGCAAAAAATTCCCCCCATCGCACACGCACCTCGCTATTATCCCGGTCAATGCAGAAGGTTAGGACGATAAACCCAAGTCATCCTGTATATAATACTCGTCAAAGATAATCATTTGATATTTTAACACTTCTACTATAGTCCCATTTATGAGTGATTGAAACCATTTCGTTGTTAATACTATTAACTTCCAAGCGATACACAGATTAATGTTCAGTTTGATACGAAGTAGTGAGTGATCTAAAAACTCATTAAACTTTCAGTTGATGTCAGACAATGGGCTGTGACAGAGATTACTTTGAAGAAGATTAAAGAATTAAGTTACTAAGACACAAGCCATCTAGTTGACACAACTGACTTAAGTTGGTGAAAATATATATTTAAAACTAGTCTCTATCTTGTTGATATGTAATCATTAATTGTATATATTTTATTTTCTGTAGTCACAATACAAATGTCGCATATTGATTGGTCTGACTAGTTGAAGTGTATTATAGGCTTCGCAGAATGTTTTAAAGTTGTACACATTTTGACTAGATATCTATTTAAAAGTAGTCTCTATCTTGTGGATATGTGATCATTTATTGTGTGTATTTTATTGTAGTTACTGATGGTGCAAGATAGTACAGTCGTCGCAGATTTTTAGGTGTGACTAGTTGGTGTTAATATACTATAGGCGTCGCTGAGAGTATAAAATTAGTGTATATTCTGAATGTATAATGTGGGTAAGTAATGTTTTAGAGATTTGTGACAGTGAATGGATGCAGTAGGTTAATGCTTAACTTTTATAGGAGTCGAAGGAGTGATATTTTTTTGTAGGGGGGGGGGGGTAAAGGGTTGTGCATTCTAAATATTATACCGGGGTGTTTCACCGTAAATGTATATTTCCTGAGAAACAGAATAAAATCGTGAATTTTAACCATTGACATATTGAAATAACTGTAACACAACAAAGCAAAATTAGTGAGAATATTTAAAAGATAATAAGACAATTTCATTTCAAATGGTTGCTATGATGAACATTCTTTCCTACTCAGACTACGCGATCTCGGCCTCTACTGATACGACCCGTATCAATTGGGCAATAACAGTCCTCTAAATTCAAAACAGTCGTGGGTTATACGCTGTTCCCGCCAGGTGCACTAACCTATACCAGTGAAAAGGGGAAAACCAATCGGGAAAAATCCGATGAAGTTTCTCGGCCAACACCAAGCTAACGTATTGTTATGACCAATATATGACATGATCAAATTGACTTGGTGGATTTATCATTTATAGAAAATGCTGGTTTTCAAAAGCTGTGCAATTATTCGTTATTTGTTTATTTTTTTTCAGAAAGAACATTTGGATTAGAAAATAAAAATGGCAAATCATTCCGTCTCGAACAAAAACTATAAATGTGATGTTTGTGGTAGATCATTCACAAGCTGTTCCCAATTAAATAGACACATTCTAGTTCATACTGGTGTGAAGCCATATAAATGTGATATTTGTAGCAAGTCTTTTGCTTCTAGTAGCTCTCTAGGGAAACACACCAGAACTCATACCGGACAGAAACCCTATTCTTGTGATGTTTGTTTTAAATCATTTACAACAAGAAATATTCTAAGCTCACACACCAAAATCCATACTAGGAAAAGACCATTGTCTTGTGATGTGTGTAGCAAATCATTTACAACAAGAAGTAATCTAAGCTCACACACCAAAATCCATACTAAGAAAAGACTGTTTTCTTGTGATGTTTGTAGCAAATCATTTACGACTCTCGGATCTTTAGAAAGACACACACGAATTCATACTGGTGAAAAACCCTTTTCTTGTGATGTTTGTAGTAAATCTTTTAGGACTAAGTGGTCTCTACATGTACACATCAAAACCCTTTTCTTGTGGTGTTTGTAGAAAGTCATTTTCAACTAGTGGTGATCTACAGGTACACGCTAGAACCCATACCGGTGAAAAACCCTTTTCTTGTCATGTTTGTAGAAAGTCGTTTACTACTAGGGGTCATTTACGGATACATATTATAGCCCATACTGGTGAAAAACCCTCTTCTTGTGATATTTGTGATAAATCATTTATCGCAAATGCTAAACTACAGCTACACATGCGAATACATACTGGAGAATAATCCATTTCCTCTGATGTTTGCTGTACATGTACGTCATTTTCGAATAGTCTAATGTTTCATTTGATCACACGTGAAATGAAACGGTGGCTAACGTCCTACTGTCTACTTCCAATGGGCTAATCAAGGCCGCTTGAATACGTATATAAATTCTATTAGATTGAGATTTGTAAGGACAACAACCTTAAGATGATGTGTACAAGATTATAGACGAGTTATGTCCCTTCCCTATAACTATTACTGTCACCGACAGATGAAGACAACCTTAAGATGATCCCTACAAGATTATATGTTTAACCTCTGATGCTCCTTGGTGACAGATCATCACTCCAGATGGCCCCTACAACATTATACACGAGCTATGTCCCTTCTCTATAACTATTGCTGTCATCGATATGTACGGCGTTTGATGCCCCTCAATGACAGGTTATGACACTTTGGTTTTATATCCAGAATAAATTTCGTAAACATTTCAGAATTTTACAAAACTCATCAAAATATCTTAGATACGATTTACATATTTGAATTCATCCTTGTCTTTATCTTACTATTATAATGTAATAAATATATTGTTCATTTAATTTAAAAATGAATTGTTGTTAAAAATGTTTGAACGATTTGTCACTTGACGCCCACTAGTACAAACTATTAATCTGCTAGATATTTCTGGGTTTTCCTAAATAGTTAACAATAAGCGTCAAAAATATCTAACTCATTAGAAATAGATATCACCATTTTTCAGATGATTTCTAAATACAATCGGGTGTTGTTATGTCTAGTGGTGTAAGGCGTGAAAGCATGAGATTTGTCATTGAGTCAAGTGGTGTGGTTTCGATTCCCAGCTTGTATGTCCATCTACGCTGACGTGAATTGTTATAATAAAAACAAAACGAACCTTGTGTTTGGCCCGAGATGACGTAGGTTGTGTCGGGTGGGTTTAAATCCGCGTCTCTCTCTCTCTCTCTCTCCCTCTTTCTCGTGATCAGTGATAAAGCCATTAAAGTTAATATCAAGGTCAGTTTTTATTGTAATTAATAATCAGAACGTGATAGTTCATCAAATTGAAATCAAATTTCATTTTGTTCATACAAATTATCAATTGTAATCGAATAGTCAATCTTTCTTTTCTTTAAACATGGGCGGATTAAAGAGAGAGAGAGTTTAACGTCCACTCGACACAAATTAGGAAATTTCAGAACTAACACATGGGTCAATTTCATTCAGTAATTCGCTTGCGCGTAGGTGTCTTTAGTTGTGGGAGGAAACTGGAGGACCCGGATAAAACCTTCGAGGTTGGACAGGCGACCTTATTCCTTGCCACGTACAACCCGGGTATCGAAACTACGCCAGTTGACTCAATTACATACCTTATGATACAGCACGCAGGTGCTAACCATTCGGCCGCCCTACCCCACAGAGTCGGATTAAGGCATTGGTATCACATATTGCAGTCTAGAAGCATACATCAACTAGAGGATATGCAGGTATTAGATGTACAGCGTTCATTTACGATAATATCGAGATCACCGAAAATACTACAAAATATACAAGAAAGGGATTCATAGTGTCAAATGGAATGGATGTAGCATTACTAGAGATGCCATTAATAATAAGGGATTTAAAATATGACATTGAAACAGACCTGTATAATATCTGTAAACATTCCATAAATCACCTTCTACTTTTAACACATTTTACCTGATTGAAAAAATAACTTATCAATGTTAAATCATTTATACCATAGGTTTGCTCGATTAATGAAGTCGTGGGCTTTAGTGCAATCAACAACACCATTAAAGACGTGAATGTTACTTTATAAATATTACAAAGTATTAAAAATATTAAAATCATTTGCAGTTGATAAAACTGGTCTGAAACCAAACGGAGAATAAGTATTTGATATAATATTATTATTAATCCATTGTTTAATATCCCTGTAATTGACAATATATCTGGAATCAGGCTATTTAAATACATTTAACAAATGTTTTATACGAACATTATTTGTTTGTTCTTATTAATTCTTGATATATGGTGATCAGTAATAGAAACATTAAGGTTCAAGTTAATTTTATTTTAATGTTTTATCATCAAATTGAAATCAAAATCCATTTTGTTCATAAAAATTTATCAATATGTGTCGAATGTTCGATGTCAGTCTTTGTTTCCTTGATAAATAGGCGGATTGACGTCCTGTACAAAAATAATACGGATTCCTTCATGTGAAAAGCAACATTTTCGAGAGTGCGTGGAGTCACTTTGGCTCACTGTCTACGACGTGTTCGATTGTGAGATAGGGACAACCCGTGGTCCAGTCTACACACTAGCCTGCCCGTAAAAAAACATGTCCGTATTCATTAGCCCAATCCTCGCATGGATTATGTCTACAAGTGTATAAAAGTTACGAAGAACTATTTAAAAATATAAACACGGCAAATGGCTTGTAAATAGTCTAATTCCACTTTTTTTTCACGTTTTAATCGAAAATAAAATAGAAATTAAAAAAAAATGAGCGCAGTGTGAAACTCTAATGAACGAATAACCATAAGGAGTAAATCGCCAACACGTTTTAGAAAACGAAAGCGAAAGTCGCTTGACCGAATACCAGCGTGACCAGTCCCACTAGAGCTGATCGATAACATTATATCTCATGGAACCCGATTACAACCGAGTGATATTATGACGTAAATAAGTGAAGGTAGTCAAATCTGTTTAGGCCGACTTTTTTGCTTTGACCGTAGGCAGCTGCCTATACATAATCTTTTCGCAAGTAAAATAGCACCAAACTCAAAATTCTCAACACATATCGCCACAGTTTGCATGGAAATAATTAATTCTTATACAAATATCACCACAATTGGAATAAAAATAATTAATTCCTATACAAATAGTTAATAATGAACCATTTAAATAGTTATCGAACAGTTTCGAGGTGACATTTGATCACATGTGTATTCTAATTCTGGCCTGACGGTCATTTTAAAAACGACAGAAATATCGCGTAGCCGTTGGATTTAGAAATTATAGGCCATTAGCTAGTTTGTAGTCAAATGATTTACAAAACATGCATAAAAGGAAGTCCATAGAACCATAGAACGGTCCCCTACTGTGGTAGGAGGCAAGACGGACGAAATCAGCAGTGGAACGATTTCTACTGCCTGTACTGGCTATAGGGTAAGCCGCTTCTGGGACAAGATGTCAGACTGTAATCTATGGTGGCTGATAGTGGCCATGTTAAATCTCGCCCTTTTCATAACGCGACAACACGACATCACGACAGTATTGACGCAATCATACGACACTTCATTCTGTCGTATCATCGTGTTATTTTTATCGTAACGTCGAGATGTCGACTTATTGTCCTAGTCTCTTTCTACAAGTCACAAAAATACAGCTGTACTCATTACATCATATATAGGCCTAAGTAGCAGATTTGATAAATATAAAAGAGATAGTAGGAAAACGTTGATTAATTATTTGTTTTCTCAAAATAATGAAACATTTTATGCCCACAAGTGAATTATATTTGGTATTATATTAAAAAATCTAGAATTACAATAGCAAGACCAAAGTGAGTTAGCTAAGTTAATTCCTTGAAGAAAAAGTGGTGTCGGGAGGTATCGAACAAGTAAGCATTCATTGCCATGTGTACGACACCCACCAATATTTATAGATGACTGGAGCGATAGTTTAAAAGTAATATCAGAAGACAGGGTGGGAAGGTGATTGTAGAAAAACCAAATCGGGCCACATTCTTTAAAATCACAGCATAATTTTATCATAGTGCAGCACGTCACCCAAATAGTTGCAGGAGTTTTTTTGAATGAGATGGAGAAAACGATTCGCAGCCTGTCATTGAGTCAACTGGCGTGGTTTCGAATCCCCGGTTGTACGTGACAAGGAGAAGGGTCGCCTGTCCAACCTCGTGGGTTTTCTCCGGGTCCTCCGGTTTCCTCCCACTGCTAAAGACCCCTACGCGCAAACGATTTATTGAAATAAAATTAAACCATGTTAGTCCCGAAATGACCTAATTTGTGTCGAGTGGACGTTAAACCCCATTTCTCTCTCTCTCTCCCTCTCTCTCTCTCTCTCTCCCGTTTGACATCACTAATGGGATTGAGGCCTAGATGAGTAAAAATAGGCCCAGTAATATCTTCAACTATGAACACACTCTAAAAGCTTCATACCCCCCCCCCCCCACGTCACCTCAATAGATGCAGGGGTTTTTTTTTATGAGGTGGAGAAAACGATTCGCAGCCGTTATTGACCTTATCGCATATAGGCTTGCATCCGTTTGAAATCACTAATGGGATTGAGGCCTAGATGAGTAAAAATAGGCCCAGTAATATCTTCAACTATGAACACACTCGAAAAGCCTCATACTCCCTCCCCCCCCCCCACGTCACCCCAATAGATGCAGGAGTTTTTTTTATGAGGTGGAGAAAACGATTCGCAGCCGTTATTGACCTTATCGCATATAGGCTTGCATCCGTTTGACATCACTAATGGGATTGAGGCCTAGATGAGTAAAAATAGGCCCAGTAATATCTTCAACTATGAACACACTCTAAAAGCCTCATACCCCCCACCCCCACGTCTCTTATTTAGTTTTACAAATAATTCCAGAATCAATTAAACGGTATCAATGATGTTTGATACAACTGGAAAATAATATGTCAAAAATTGATTAAACAACATGAGAAATATTACATATTGAATCCATATTAGTGATAACGTACATTTACTCAATACGTTCTTTCCAATAGCTCATCATTTAACTTGAAACAAGGGAAACAGTCGATCGAAGAAAACAGATTTTTTTAAAAAAAAAAAACAGGTTTCAATGTGACAGTAGTGCTTCGGTCATGCATTTACCTCCGAGAGTGCCATCCTTTCTTTGAAAGTAATGATTGTGCCAAATTTGAACAAATTCCATCTAGATTCGCGGCCTGTAGGTAGAGTGTTGACAGATCAAATGTAAAAAAAAAACAAAAACAAAAACCCCAGACCTATAAAAATATATTTTCTTAAACTCTTTTAACTTTGAAATTATATTGTTTTCACATGTGCTAAGTGTTTTAGCGAATATTTATAGAAGGGTCTTGTAGATAAAGACTATAGCGCATGTGCAGTTTTAAACTTCCGAGACGACAAGTCGACAAGTCGATGATACGACAGTTTAGTGTTTTGTCGTACCGTCGTATCATCGACTTGTCGTGGCGATAAGTCGATGATACGACAGCACGACAAAATAAGGTCGATGATACGACAAAATCAGACGTAAGTTCTGTCGTAAGATCGCCCGATTTTATCGTAAGATCGTGTGATTTTGTCGTGCCGTCGTATCATCGACTTATCGCCACTGTAAGTCGATGATACTACGACGCTACAAAATCACACGATCTTACGACAAAATCACGCGATCTTACGACAGAACAAACTGTCGTAAGATCGCGTGATTTTGTCGTGTCATCGACCCGATTTTGTCGTGCCGTCGTATCATCGACTTATCGCCACGACAAGTCGATGATACGACGGCACTACAAAAAGCGAAACTGTCTTATCATCGACTTGTCGTCTCGGAAGTTTAAAACTGCACAGTGCACATGCGCTATAGTCTTAATCTACAAGACCCTTTCTATAACTATTCACTAAAACACTTAGCACATGTGAAAATAATATAATTTCAAAATTAAAATAGTTTTAGAAAATATATTTTTATAGGTCTGGTTTTTTTTTACGTTTTATCTGTCAACACTTTACCTACAGGCCGCGAATCTAGATGGACTTTGTTCAAATCTGGCACAATCATTACTTTCAAAGAAAGGATGACACCCACAGATGTAAATGCATGACCGAACCACTACTATCATATTGAAACTTGTTTTTTAAAATCTTTTTTTCTTCGATCGGCTGCTTCCCTTGTTTTCAAGTTAAATGGTGATCCATTGGAAGGAACATTTTGAGTAAATGTATCATTGATACGGATTCAAAATGTAATATTTACTACCCTATGTTGTTTAATCAATTTTAGACACATTAATTTCCAGTCGTATCATACATCATTGATAGGGACCTACCATTTTATTGATTCCGAAATTATTTGTTAAACAAAATAAGAGGGGGGGGGGGGTGCGTAGGGGACTTTCGGAGTGTGTTCATAGCTGAAGGCAATACTGGGCCTATTTTTAATCATCTAGGACCCGATCCCATTAGTGATGCCAAACGGATGAATATGCGATAAGGTCAATAACAGCTGCAAATCGCTTTCTTCACCTCATAAAAAACCTCCCCTGCACTTATTGGGATGGCGTGCTACACCAATGCGGTGATTTTATGTGATCTGATTTGAGGTTTTATATAATCCCCTTCCCACTCTAATAAAATAAATTGGAAATCTTCTGAAATCGCTTCTAAACTATCGCTTCAGTAATCTATAAGTATTGGTGGGTGTCGTACACGAGGCAATGCATACTTGTTCGATACCTACCGACACCACTTCTTATTCAAGGAATTAACATAGCTGACTCACTTTTGTCCTGCTATTATAATTCTAGAATTTTTGAATATAATACCAAATATAATTCAATTTTCATTTTTTTTTAGAAAACGAATCAACGTTTTCCTATTATCTCTTTTGACGAGTCTTATTTATATGTATCTATTTATATGTATCTGATGTAATGAGTACAGCTGTATTTTTGTGACTTGTAGAAAGAGACTAGGACAATAAGTCGACATCTCGACGTTACGATAAAAATAACACGATGATACGACAGAGTTAAGTGTCGTATGGTTGCGTCAATATTGTCGTGATGTCGTGTTGTCGCGCTATGAAAAGGGCGAGATTTAACATCGCCACTATCAGCCACCATAGTAATCTATAGGGGTTGGAACAGAAAGCTATCGTTTCTAGGACACGATGTCGACGGCATATTTTGTTATGTGGCATTTACTGGGGTCGATAAAAAAACTGCATCTTTTTATTAATCTAAAGGGGTTTAAGTTGATCAGTGAACGTATATTATTCCAGCTAAAATAAACAGTTAACTGAAGTCTCTAAAGGTAATTTAATACTAAATTTGTAGTACACAATTGTAAGTTAGCCAATATATGGAGCCGATATTATAATCCACTCCACGTCATTAATTACACATTGTACTTTACGTGGTTAGAGGTGTGTAAAACTGATAATAGGCCCAGACCATATGGGTCAGGCCACAGTACTGGTACAAGACAATTCATCATTTATACTTTAAAGAAACACTTTAATCTAGCATATGTTATCTCTACAGTGTGTTTTCTAAGTGTAAGTATACCAATAACCAAACTCCAGGTAATACTAAAATTTATGAATTTGATAAGGGGTTTGCTCAATGTAGTAACTTGTGTACCAGTACCGTTGCCTTATTCACATGTGAAATACAGGCCCAATTTCAAACTGCTCATTCAGTATTTGTGCTATCAGACGGATTTTACGTGCCATGTAGTGTAGTAATATCAATGCATGTGGTTTAGAAGATTTTAAGTTTAACCCCTATAGAATACAGATCGCCTACAAACGGTACCACATGAACCTGCACGACAGCATTTCTGATTACCAGAACATTGATCATCATTAGAACATGGACGACCACATCTTTGCACCCGAGGATTGAATATTTGTCGAGGACATCTGCCAGGTTTCATTTGTGATCGCGGTAACTGACAAGTGTGCCCACACCCGTTTGAACAACATTTTGTACGTCCGCGACAATCTGCATCATTTGAACATTCCTCTACGCAAACACCCCGGGTGTTTCGTGATACATGCGGACACGATCCAGGTTTAGATGCTTGGAAAACTGGTTGGCAGGTGTGTCCACACCCATTTGAACAACATTTTTCATCATCAGAACAATCATCGTCTCCCGAACACTCCTCAACACATGCACCAAAAGTGTCTCCGGGTCGGCGAGGACAGGACCCAGGTCTAGGTCTGGCTAAAATATAAATTAATAAGTCGAGTTAATTGGTAGTCTGAATTGTGGTTGGTTTTGAAGACTTGTGGCGTCACATCTAATAACTTAGCTTCTTATTTAGCTTACCCCTTTTACAGCTGAAATGGTGTATTTTAAAAGTGGATTTTAGCAGCCGAATAATGGTTTGCCATCGAGGTGTACGGGATATAATGCAGTCTAAGAACCTCATTACAATAGAGGAACCGCGGTGGTTGGATACTAGAGTTTGCCAAGAATTTAACTCTGGATCTTCCACCTTGGTTGTTCTTTGCGCCTGGTGCAGGGTCTGTCAAGGATTCTCTACACTGAAAAAAAACTTGTGTTGAAACAACACAAACTTGTGTTAAATTCAACACAAGTTAGGTGTCTCTATTTAACAACACAAACCTGTGTTAAAACAACACAAACTTGTGTTAAAACAACACAAAACTTGTGTTAAATGTTGAAACAACACAAAACTTGTGTTAAAATGTATCAAACAACACAAAACTTGTGTTGAAACTTGTGTGAAATCTACACAATACTTGTGTTGAAACTTGTGTTGAAATTTCTGAAACTTGTGTTAAAATTTCTGAAACTTGTGTTGAAATTTCTGAAACTTGTGTGGTTTCATACAAACTTGTGTATAACCATCATCAAAAACTTGTGTTGTATTTTTCCCCAATTTATATCCAGCATAGCAACCTTTCTATGCAGGACCCCTCTCTTTGCTCTGTAAAGTTTGATAAAAGAAGGAAACAAAAAAAAAATTGTAAGATTATTATTTATTCATAAAATCATAGGAAAAAGTAAATTAATACATCAAAACTAAATAGATATTTGAAATGTTAACAGAAAAACAGAGACTTCAATTCTAATACAAATTATATTGTGTTATATATAATGACCCCTCCCCCCCCCCCACTTTACCCATCACAAAATATAAAATAGCTATTTAAATTGTTTTTTGCCCCACACACTTTACCCATCACAAAATATAAAATAGCTATTTAAATTGTTCTTTACCCCAAAACAAGAACTGAGAATATAAAGATATGTACACAGTATCCCTACCCCATACCCCAAAATATATAATTCAAATATATCTAAATTTAATAACATCCAAACTAAGCACTAATAAGATTAATTATGCACTAAATTGAAACAATTTCAAAAACTGAAAAATGCTACAAAATCACACTACAAGTGATTTGTGAGGCATCTAGAAATAACTAGCATACACAAAAAAACTAACAAAAGAAAATTGCTCTATTTTGCAGGAGTAATAAAATGATGTAGAGCCTTTTCCTCATTAAAAAACCCCCAAACAAAATGAATATTTTATAAATAAAAGAAGCAAAGCATCAAGATTACAGGATGGAAATAAAAAAATATCATATGTACAAAAGATTTATATACAATCACAAGTCATAAGCCACAGTGGTTCAGTGAGCATAAGGCGTTGGCCGAGAAATTTCAACTGGATTTTCCGGCATAGTTCCCACTTTTCAATGTTGGATATGGCAAGGGATAATTGGGTACAAGCCCAGAATCAAAAGAGAGAGAGACAGAGAGAAATGGGGTTTAACGTCTACTCGACACAAACTAGGTCATTTTGGGACTAAAATATGGTTTAATTTTATTTCAATAATTCGCTAGCGCGTAGGGGTCTTTAGCAGTGGGAGGAAACCGGAGGTCCCGGATAAAACCCACAAGATTGGACAGGCGACCCTACTCCTTGTCTACAACCGGGGATTCGAAACCATGCCAGTTAACTCAATGACAGGAGGCCGTATGATACAGAATGCACGTGCTAACCATTCGGCCATCCACCCCCCCCCCCCCCCAGAATCGAAACCAACCCAACTGCGTACACTTTGAAGAACCCTTGAAAATTGAATTATTTGAATCAATGACAGACCTTCTGATCAAATGTGTGCGTGTTAACCATTCGGCCCCCCTGGGTACCCTTTAAAGAACCCTTGACAGTTGAAATATTTGATATAAGGGTAGGGTAGAATCACTCTAAGAACACAGAAAAGCAGGATATTAAAACGTATTTCATTTCATAAGCAAGGGAAAGTCACCTTAATGTAGGTCAAGGTTTTTTGTAATTCTGGGTGTATTTGATCTACATTTGGTTTCTAGTAATGCCTAATAAATACTTTATGATTTCCGACCAAATTCTAAGTGATTTATATGTCAGTTAACTTGCTATATTATACATACATATTTGAAGAGAATTAAAATCTAATTGTGTTTTGGAAGAAAATTTAACATTAATAACAAAAAATAAATATTTAAAAATTGGGTCAAATGCATTCTTTCCCAGAAGTATAAAATAAATTGATGCTTGGGTTCTCTTGTTGTTATCATACATCAAATACTCTTTCAAGGGTGTTCCAGCCTTAAAAATAAAAAGTAGGCAATAAGAATACAATGTTTAAATAAACAATTTATTTTGCCACATCGAGACTGAGTCTCTATTTGGTTTCAACTTTGCGTAACGCTTATTTTGTCTTGTTCACTTAAAGACCCACGCAGATTATTATGCTCAAATCAAATGGGTTAAAAGTCAGAAAAATGAAATGAAATGGGGTTTAACGTCCTACTGTTCTGCTCCTATACTGGGCTAATAATGACGGGCATATGCCACACAGTGTGCTATGAGGGAATTTTTGCCCGGGCAGCGGCACTATCATCTATTCTTATATCGAATTCCAACTGCCAGGGGATCTTTTACGTGCATTCCAATATTTGTCTCATCGGAAGGACTAGACAGCTGTCTTTGTCAGGCCAAGTCAGAAAAAAGTCTTGAGATTTGGGACTGAAGTCTCATAATAGGTCAACTATTCACACGGTTCATACATGTATTGTCTGCAAATCCAGATTCCCTACTACATCATTGGCAGCACCTATTTACTTGGCAATGTCTAATTATTTTTGGACCCATTCTTATTTTATTTCCATTGACAACAAATTGGATATTACCCTTTAAAATCTATTGAAATCTATTTGAAAAGTAAAATATTGTCCATCATTATTTTACTGCTATTTACTGTAAAAATACACATAGGCCCTATCATAACTTGAAGGAAATCAATGGATGTGATTGGCAAAAATCAAGCATGCCAAGTACTTGAAATAGCTGAGTCCTAGGCATTGCCCCAAGAAGAATAATTAGATTACCAAGCAAGTGTATAAAACTACTTCCTGATTAAAAATACAAATATGTATGTTACTTACATTTTGCCTGATTATCAAGCTCTGTGAGAAAAGTTTCCACAATATGAATAGCCATTTCCAACTGTTTTTATCTTTCTGACGTAGTTAACTGGAAAAAAACATACTATGTATTAGATGACTTAAATTGACTCAACAGTTAAAAGATGAAAGTTTTAATTTACAGTCTATATTTTACACAAATTTCTGGAGAGAATTAAAATATAATTGTGTTTGAGAGGGATATTTAACATTAAAAACAAAAATAAAATGCAACCGATAACTTATTAGCTTTTACAATCACTATATTCTTTTTCAAAATTATAAGGAGATCACATTGCTAAGAGGGTACGACGCTGGCTCACTAGCCTGGAGGTCGGGTGTTCGATCCCTGAATTGGCTGAGAAAGTTCATCCAGATTTTCCGACGTGTCTTCCCCTTGTCAGTGATACAGGACGGAGGACCTGACAAGGACAGCTGTCTAGTCGTTTGGATGGGATAAAAAAAACGAGGTCCTGTGTACACATTGGCGTGCATGTAAAAGATCCCTTGGCAGTTGGAATTCGATATAAGAGTAGGCTGTAGCGCCACTGCCCGGGCAAAATTTCCCTCATAGCACACTGTATGGTGTATGCCCGTCTTCATTAGCCCAGTTTATGAGCAAAACAGTAGGATGTTAAACCCCATTTCATTTCATTTTCAAAATTATAAAATAATTTGATGGCTTAATATTCAAGTATTATGACCAGGTAGAATTAGAGCATAGTTAATTTGAGGCCAGAGCCATTATAGATTAGCCAGAATCCTAATTAAAATAAACTCTGTAATTATATTAGAGAGACATTGTTTCATAAATTATTATCTATTGTAAAGTTATTCCAGTAAGGTATTAAGGATTATATTGTAACTAAAAACAAAGCTAAGGTATAAAAGTCCTAAAAATTGTATATATTAGAAAAAGGCGAGTTAACCACAGGCAGGCAGCAGGGCATACTGAAGGGCAGGTCTCTGATATAGTGACTAGTTATTTCTTAGATGCTGTTCCTTATTAAGTTACCTATCCTGTGGGTCAGTATTATATGTATATATTATCTTTGTTAGATATTGTTACAGAATATAAGATTATACTAAGAGAAGTGAGTTATTGAATTATTGTATGTTCAATCGTACACCTCCAACTAGATTGAACATACAACCCATCGTCGAAGGTTGGACTATAAGTAGGTCCATAAACCCTGGATGATAGTATGTGGTTGAGTTGGCAATAAATATACTTTCTACGGTTCACAATGTTTAAATAAATAACTTATTTTTCCACACGTTGAGTCTCTATTTTGTTTCAACTTTGCATAATACTTATTGTGTCTTTTCAAGTTACAGACCCAGGTAGATTATTATGCCTCAATGGGTCAGAAGCCAGAACAAAAGTCTTGAAAAAAAGACAATAATGAAAAAATAATCATTTAATTTACCAATTATCTCCACTAAGGCAGTGGTGAATACAGTATTGCAAACAGTATTACAATATGATATTATTTATATTTTACAAATTCATGCATTTGAACGCTTTATAATAATGATTATGAAAGGGTGTAACATTGCATCCATCTTATAGTTTTGAAGTCATATATCAAAACTGTATATCAACCAAACAAGCCTGCTGAGTCTCATGTTGATCGTATTTGAAATGGCATAGCGCTAGACTATGCCCCAAAAAGAAGAACTAGATTACCAAGTGTATATATATAGAGAGAAATGGGGTTCAACGTCCACTCGACACAAACTAGGTCATTTCGGGGCTAACATATGGTTTAATTTTATTTCATTAATTCGCTTGCACGTAGAGGTCTTTAGCAGTGGGAGGAAACCGGAGGACCCGGAGAAAACCCACGAGGTTGAACAGGCAACCCTACTCCTTGTCACGTACAACCGAGGATGACAGGCCGTATGATACAGCACGCACATGCTAACCATTCGGCCATCCAACCCCCCCCCCCCCCCACCAAGTGTATAGAACCAGTTCCTGATTCAAAAAGCAAATATGCATGGTACTTACATAGCCTTTGTCTGATAAGCAACCTCTAAGAAAACACCTCCACAATATCAATAGCCCTTTCCAGCTGTCTTGATCTTCCGAGGTGGCTAACTGAAAAAAAATATGCAATGTATTACATTAGTTGGCTTAAATTGACTAGACAGTTTTGATTAATTCAAAAAATGTTAATTTAACTACATTTGTTTTGTTTCATGTGTTGGTTTGCTTTGCCACAGATGAGACAGTCATATCTAACTAAGATTCTGTCTGTGCTCATACATGTACGTGTACAGTTTTACTATACTAAACTGAATTTTAGATTTCAAAATAACATAACAGCAATCTTTTCTATAAGAATTGAATAGTTACCCACCAAGAAAAAGCTGCTCTATCATCATTTTTTCCAGCCATTTCTTCTTCCATTTTTTTACTTTTATAATTTCTTTTGTTACATGATCTTTTCCTGGGTGATTTGCATATACATCCAATATTGAAACTGAAAAAATAAATACATGATATGTAATTTACCATTAAAGCTACCATACCATATATACAAACTGTGTGATTTGAAATTGAAACTAATGTATCTATATGTATCAAAAATTTTAATCCCAAGGAACTACCTAAGCCGTAAAAATCTATTTTTATAATCTTTGTTTGTCACATGGTTTCAATGTCGCAGTAATTAAAAGACGGCCATGGTGACTGAGTTAGTTAGGTGCTGGAATACAAGCATGGAGGCCACAGGTTACCTCTTGGGGTTGACCGAGAAAGCTCATCTTGATTTTTCAGAGTGGTTTCCCCTGAGATCCAATGTACACATTGGCGTACACATAAAAGTTCTCTTGGCAGTTTGAATTCGCTATGAGAGTAGGCCATAGTGTCGCTGCCCGGACAAACATTTTCTCTTAGCACACTGCATTAGACCAGTCGGAGCTGAACAGTAGGACGTTGTCTTTAAACCCCATTTCATTTCAGGTAATCTAGTATTTTTCTAGTAAGATTGAAGTCTCTCTACTTTCGTTATATGTAAATATCATATTTGAAATAAGCCATACTTTTATTCAATATGGGATGGGGCTGGGGGGAATGGTCTAGTAGTTAATGCATTCACATGAAATCACAGGGTCTGTCATTGTGTTAAGTGGCATGGTTTCGATTTCAAGGAGTAGAGTCGCCTGTCCAATCTCTTGAGTTTTTCTCTGGGCCATTCGGTTTCCTCCGTTTGCTAAATACCCATACCAGCAAACGAATTATTCATATCAAATTTAACCTTACCTGTCCTTTTTCCCGAAACGACCTAGCGTCTGTAGGCTAAGTAGAATGGAACAGTGTGCAGGGAAAGGGTGGAAACGGAAGAAAGCTAATCGTCGTCGTAGTTGATTACCGGTATGCATATAGGCATAGCTTGGACTACTTGATTCTTCAAATACAAGTACACGTAAGGCCTTGTTTATGTCATGTTTCTCTCTCTGTTGCATGTAAGTGTCATATAAATACTTTACTTGGGATTGTATGTTCACATACACTAATCATTGTAGGACATTGGTAAAAAAAATAATAGAAAATATAAAAATTAAATGAAATTGTTACCAGTTTTTCTTCAAATTCCAATTCAATGCCAAAATGGAGTCCTTGAACGGTAAATTCTCAATACGGTAATTGCTGTAACTGTAAGGTGGAATGAGTCATATCATCACTGACTGGAAAAAATAATGAAACTATAGAGAAACTTCCACAGACTGATTCTAGTTCCATTATTTATTATTTATTAACTGTGACTGAATCAGGAAAATAGGGGCCTAATAATATTCCACAGAGTGACAGAGTCAGAGGTTGAACGGAGGGTTTGGGGAAAATATCTGCTTATTTGATTTAAGGTTGTTTTTTTAAACATAAATTAGATTACAATTCAACTAACACAAAAGTGTAAAAAGATTTTTTCTAGTCTGTGCCCGCGTTTATGTCTACTCTTGGCAAAATCTTTATAATATAAAAAATCATGAAACAAGAATCAAAATGGCCGCCAATCCAATCCAACCTCCCAAGATATAATTTCAAAACAGATTCTTACCTGCTGGTTCAAGTCGAGCCGTTTCTGGTTTAATCATAATGTGATTCTGTAATGTACGTATTTGAACAACATCGTAGCGCCGAACAACTAATGTTAATTAAGCACGATTTCAGAAAAATTGAACAGATTTGATTAATAACATGCCGAATTTTTTTCCCTGTCCCCGCCCGCCATTTTAAACATGAACTTCCGGGTTAAATTGTTGGAGTTTTTTTTAAGGAAACGAAATACTAATATTATACACAAAAACAATATCGATGTTAAATTACATACATAGAGGATATTTGTCGTTTTAGAGTGAATAACATATTTTATTTCATCGAGAAGCAAGAAAACTTATATTTTCACGAATGCGTAATGTTCTATTTATTTTATGATTTTACAATCATTTTAGGTAAAAACAACTAGCCAGTGGAATAACACTTTTATTTCACTGATAAAACGCGGTATTCCACTACTGATCATAAAATAAATGGTATTATTTTTTTTTATATAAATATTCACAAACCTGCGGTCTTTTATTCTCTGTGACCATTAGCTTACATTTGTCAAACATATCACTGCCCAAAAATCATTTCAGCACGCTGTTAAATGGTAAATGAATTGTGTGAAATCAATTCATTTAATGTCCGGTTGCACAGAGGTGATATCGCAGACAAACTGTAGCCTATAGTACGTTGATTTTATGATGATGAGTTAGTTGTATTTTACGTCCGCTTCAACCAATCACATTAAATAATAGTTTTACTTATTTTCTTGTCAATGCATTTGGAGTCAATTGTTAAAATCACACCGGGCATGAGCGCTCAATAGGCCTTTGATCTACCAGTTTATTGGGCCCATAAAAAATCAACAACTTTATTTTAACTACAGACATCTTAACACCAATTAGCATTCAAGTCTGTCTGGCCATCATGTCTGAGTAAAAAATACTTTTCTTATACTTGTGGACGCCCGGATTAAGACTTTGTATGGAGTTCAAATTTAAAAAAAAATATTTGTTGACGGTACACATTACTTGTGTTAATAATATGAAAAAACCCACAAGATTTGTGTTAATGCATTAAAAAGAACACAAGTTTGTGTTAATGCAATGCAAAACAACACAAGTTTTGTGTAGAATAATTTTCACACAAGTACTTGTGTTGAGATCCAACACAAGTTTTTTTTCAGTGTAGTGTTTATTATTGGGGCGAAAAAGTAAGGTCCGGTGTACATGTCCACGCGCATCTAAAGGAAACCTTAGAATTTGAATTAAAAGTAGGCCCCATAGCGGACCGCATGGCGTATGCTCGTCTTCATTAGACCGATTGAAGCAGAACACCTCATCCATTTATATCAAAATAGCAGAAGACTTACAAACAATTCCATTCCAGCAACATCTGCCATTTCCATCTCGACGTCGAACACAGTAGCTACCAGTCGGACAAGCAGCATTACTGGAACATTGGATTTCTCTAATAGAAGTATCAATTATAGGTCGTCCAATTGGACATACAGAGCGTACAGGTCTTGGTTCTGAAACAGAAAGCATAATATTTAGGTGCAAGTATTATTCCAAGACCTCATTATGTCCGTTTTAGTTAGTCAAATATCGAAACGAAATATTCATTCTACAATAGTTCAGTATTTATATAAGAAATGATGCACCAAGCCCCCTTTGACTCGTAGGACCATTCTATGTACATGATTCGACACTTACCACCTGAGCAAACTGCGACTGGAAAACAAGGACTTGTCACACATTGAACTTGTTGTACTCGACATCCTTCAGGAAAACACCTTACTGTCTGGAAAGTATTAAATAAATACATATAATTATTTATATACGAATACATTTAGTCCGTCAGCAGGTCGACAACCCTGGATATACAGTCCACCTAATGATATTTGATGGATAAAATATCTTCCATACATGTAGATTCAGAATCCGGATGATGCCACAATGGCACCTTTGGGGAAATATAAATATTGAAATTTAAACATATGGATTGAATGTGTTTTCTGCAAGAATCTCTCCAGGACGATTTAAACGTGATAATTAATTGAGATATTAAAGGTTGAGTGGGGGAGTCTAACTTTGTCAAGTTTAGTACGGGGAGTACCGACCGCTTGATGCTATCTTAGACCAAGCTAATTGACATGCTATTACACCGCAATCCTTAAAGACACATTCTAAGAGAGCTAAATGTGCCTATTGACACAGCAAGCCCATACACAACCCTCTGGACCATCTTGTGGCTTAGATATTGAGTGAATTAAGAAATGTCCGCCACATCTGCTTCAAATCGACCTATCAAGTCGACATGGTTTTGTCATTCACGGAGACTTTAGGTAATCGTGGCAATGCTACTTGATCAAGAATATGAAATCTTGACAGAGTCTCAATATACCAATTTTTCGGCAATCGTCGTAGACGATTTAGGTCTATTTGTTGTCAAAACTTTAAACATTCATAACTTCGCCCAGGTTAAAGTAATATATAGATTTCATTATCTGTGAACTGCTATAGCAAGAACGATCAGCTCTTTATTCAAATCTGACATAATGATTCTTTTACTGTCCGAACAATTACAAAACCTAAAACATTCAAGCAACTTACATTACAAGGATAGGGTAATCGACGCTGTGCTGTTGAAACAACGAAGCATAATGCCTAAAAGATAAATAAATACATTGACGGTTAAAACGACAAGCCTTGACACGACTTTCGTAATGTAGTAAAACATAGATATCTGGCACTATCTTGATCATTTTAATAACTTTGGGGGCAAATTTTAATAATACGTGTATTAACAATAAATAATTAGTTGCGACTTGAAAGCAGTACGAATTCGAAATATGTTGAAACAGGGTTTCTGAATAGTTTCATCAGAAAGTATTTGTATAATGAAAAAAAAAACATCGATTAAGACTATGACTGGATACAGTCGAAATATTCTGCGGCAAGTAATCGTATAGCGTTTTTAAATGCATTCATATAAATATGTATATAAAAATAAAATTTTAAATAAATAAAAACTGTTCTTACCAATAAGTAAATATGGAGGATAGTCATATTTGTGTCGCCTATCTTACTATAATGACGTGTTGTTTGATGTAAGCCTTATTTATAGTCGACTATTTATGATAATATCCTGTTACTGATGTATTTTTGATTAGTATAAAAATTTGAGGACATATATCAAAATTTCAATACACTTGTCACATTTACATACTTAAAACTTAAAGTAAGCTAAAGCTGTAATATTAGACAATAGTTTTATGTCCATGTCTCCTAGTATTTCAGCGGGTTTTCCCCTTTTAGGAACTCCATTCATACTCTTAACAGGAACTTAAGATCAAACTCGGGTTATTCATTCAGCCATCGGCCATCGTCTTATGCCTTTTTTTTCTAAATGATTGATTTTTTTTTTTTGGGGGGGGGGGGGGATTTTTTTTTTTTTGTTGCATTTTAAAGTATATATTTATTTTAATCATTGATTCCATGGTTTGTGAGCTCACGTCTTACAGGTACACGATGACCCATTTCCTTAAAAATGATTGCTGAAAGGTATTACATAATGTGTCTTTAACATGTAATTTTAAACCGGAATGTATATATGTTTTTAATGTTATATAAGCATAGTTGAAACTGTAAAATATAATTGGTGTATTACCTTTTTTAAACTCTGCCTTCTAATCAACATCAATCAAAACGGTGACGAGGTTTCATATCTCCATCAATCAAACTTTGTGTAAGATCACGAAGTTTGTAACTTAGTAACACATGGTAGCATATTTTATGGATATTGAGTATTGAGTTTATTACTATGCGAATCAGGGGCGTAAATGTGGGGGGGGGGTGGAGGGGTGGTACACCCCCCAGGAAAAAAAATAGTCGGTCGCAAAATCAGTGCAGTCGGTCGCAAAATAAGAGCAGTCGGTATCAAAATAAGTGCTGACTGCACACGTCACGCTACTCACGCAAAACTTTAGTATAAATAACCTTGTCAACTTAATGTGTTTCACTCTTATTCTTTTGTGAGTATGTAGGTCTAAGAACAAAATATCCCCCAGGGAGAAAAATAGTCGGTCTCAAAATAAGTGCAGTCACTGCAGTCGGTCTCAAAATTTTGCATTGCCGTCTTAATGAATTAATGAGGTAAACTAATAATGCCAGAATAGATCCCAAATACTAGTCGGTCGCAAAATCAGTGCAGTCGGTCGTAAGATATGAGAAGTCGGTATCAAAATAAATGCTCACTGCACACGTCACTCTACTCTCGCAAAACTTTAGTATAAAATAACCTTGTCGACTTATCATGTTTGAAAAAAATGTTTTTCACCCCATGGCAAAAAAATAGTCGGTCTCAATTCCATTATGCCATCATTCTTCAACTCCTTCTCTGACTTTTACTATCTCATCACTATCATATTCACAGTTACAGTGAATCGCCCAGTTAGTAGTACCACTAGTGAGTGAGTCGTTGGTCAAAAGACTGTAGAATTGTTAGTTCTACTCTCACAAAACAGGCGACATTGACAGATAGTCCTCAAGATTCTGTCCCATTTCTTATCCTCCCGTTAACGAGAATTTGGATGCATTTGCCATGACATTGACTAAAACTGTCAGGCCCAGTCCCAAAAATTAAAAGCTCGGTTAAACATCTCAAATTTTTTCGCGCCTGCGGCGCTCGATTCCATTATAACATCATTCTTCCACTCCTCTGTTGTCTTATACTGTCTCAGCACTATCATATTCACGGTTATACTGAACTGCCTAGTTATGTTAGTAGTACCACTGGCACTGGTGTGTGGGTCGTGGGGCGTCAGACTATACAAAAGTTCTGTCAACTCTTGCAAAACAGGCGGAATTGACAGGGGGCAGATCTCGAGATTTTGTCTAATTGACTCACATTTCTGGCCCCCTCGTCCACAAGAATTTCTCCCAGCAATGACCTCAAATGCCAAGATATTGACTCAATTTTTCAAAATTTTCTCATGTTGCTCAGTGTTATAAGCACAATCATATATGACATAAACTTTATGTCAACTTAAATAAAACTGCTTTCCAGCGAGACAACGATCGGCAAACAACTATATGATTATACAATACCATCTATGTTCTACCGGGACGCTTAATGTTATAGCCAGTATTTTGTTGACATTCATTGTGGGGTGGGATTGTGGCTGAGGTGGTGCCCTAGATTTGGAACCCACTCCCACCCCTATCTAGATCCGCTACTTCACATGTGCCCTACAAAACTCGCACCTGTGGTGCTCGGTTCCTGACTGCGTCACTCGTACTAGGGGTATCGGCATCAGTCGGTCGCATTTTCGCTAAACACCCCCCCCCCCCCCAAACAAAATCGTTATGTACGCCCCTGTATGCGATATTTTATGGATACACAAGAATTGAGTTTATTACTATTCAATATTTTATGGATACACAAGAATTGAGTTTATTACTATGCAATATTTTATGGATACACAAGAATTGAGTTTATTACTATGCAATATTTTATGGATACACAAGAATTGAGTTTATTACTATGCGATATTTTATGGATAAAAAAGTATTGAGTTATTACTATGCGATATTTCTACGTGGATACCCTCTTCGTTATCAAGCAAATGATACAGTTGTATTTAATTGTTATGCTGTATGTGATAACCCCAAGGGTATATTTTAATAATTGTGAGACCCACTCCTGGTGAATTGTCCCAGTTGAACAGCTCCAAATGCCTTTCTTTAAAAAAAAAAACACACAAAATAAACAAACAAAAAAACAAAACAAAAACAAACACAGCATTTTTTAATTTCAATCCAGGAGTTACGTTCGCTTCTAACATTGGATTCTTAACTGGGGTCGTGGGCCCTGTTTCTCGAAATCTTAACTAAAGATAAAATCCAAATTTTAGTAGATACTTCAATTTTGATTGGCTAAGCACTAAAATGAATCTAATATTATCCAATCAGATTACTAAAATTTGGATTTAATCTTAAGTTAAAATTTCGTGAAACAGGCCCCTGGTTATTGAAATCTGAACTACTCATTTCAACCCAGTATATACTATTCTTAACTGGGGTCCTGCATGGTTATTGAAATTTGATCTACTCAAATCAAGTCAGGATATAATATTCTTTATTGAAATCTGATCTACTCAATATTGATTAAGACGGAAATACGTCATGAAGTAAACTGTGTGTGAAATTATCCCCGGACAGATGTATCCCTCCTTCCACATTTCGTCGAATTCCCACCGTGATGAGCTAATTTTACAAGATCTAGGGATCTCCTTGTACATGAGCCAGCGACTTACCAACTGAACCACCATGGCCCCAACATCAAAATGTAGTATGTGTGTGTGTGGGGGGGGGGGGGGCGAATGGGTAACACGCGCGTGTTGTATCATACCGTCTGTCATTGAGTCAACTGGCGTGGTTTCGATTCCCCGGTCGTACATATCAAGGAATAGGGTCGCCTGTCCAATCTTATTGGTTTTCTCCAGATCCTCTTCGCTTTCCTATCACTGCTAAAGACCCATACGCACAAGCGAATAATTGAAATAAACCGTGTGTTGGTCCCGAAATAACCTAGCTTGTGTCGAGTAGACGTTAAACCCATCTCTCTCTCATTCTGTGTGTCTCTCTTTCTCGTGGTGGGTGAGGGTAAATAGATATCATAAACATAGCACACACTGCCAAGCACTGGCAGCAGCCCAACACAAAAACACATTAAACACCCTATATGTACAATTTGTAACGCTAAAACTGAAAATGCTATCATTACTACCAGGGGCGGATACGAGAATTTCGAATGGGTGGGAGAGGGGGTGCAACAAACGTTGTTGCCGTGTCTAGCGAGTAAAAAAACAAATTTACCATTTTCTTAGGATTTTTCTGAGAATAAACAAGTGGACTATAAAATGCAATTTACATTTAAACAGTTTGCGACATTCTTATGTCGGACATTCCGGAAAAAAAATATATAAGAAATAAAAGAACTTCGAGCGGACCCAATCAAATAGATATGTAATGATATGAATGACACGTCAGTACCCAGGAATGATTCATTGAAACATATTTTATTGAAGCATATCAAAATGATCGGACATAACTTTCAAAAGCTTTAGAGTGGCCCTTTCTATATAAAAATTATAATTTTAAATAAAATAACGAAAAATAGTATACAGTATCAATCTGATTAAAACACAGATCATATTTCGTTTCGTTTTTTATAGTTCATAATTTCGTTTTTCTTGTCTTTATTACACTAGGACCTGGACTTGTTGTTATATTACCGGCGTTTTAGTTGAAATGATCATAAGCCAATGAAACGGTATGTTACGCCGAATTCTTGGCGTGTCATGCGCGGAACTGTGGGTAAACCACTAGAAACGTCAACGCTGATTGATTAATCAATGTCCGATATAATGGGGTCAAAAGCCACTGTACGACCAATCTGTATTTTAATCAGATAGTATATACAGTATGTATTTAAATACGTGAATTCTTGTATCAGCTAATCAACAATCCACATAAATAACAAGTAGACACTAACTCAATATACTATAAATCATATCATGGTAGCTTTGAATAGCAAATAAATATACTGCAAATGATATCATGGTAGCTTTGAATAGAAAGCGAGAATAGAATCCACAACATCACTTACATACATTATGCTCAATATAATTCATAAGTTATAATAATAAATTATGCATTAAGAATAAGCTACATCTGCCTATCGCAGATCTTTCTTTAGGCCTGAAATATTATATAAATTATTAACATTAAACATACATTATGCAAGAGCTAAATCTTTCTTTAGGCCAGAAATGTTATCTAATTTATTAATTAGACATTAATTAACTTATCCAGACCATAATCAACTCTCGATGTCATCACTAGCCTGCGATATTTACTGGATTAGAATCCGGTCTGCTGCTTCTGATTAAATCAAAAAATGGATAATCGATACTATGTTTTTTATCGTGCCGACTTTAGTAATATGATCGAGGCTAGGCCGAAATTTCAATCGCTTTATTTTCTTAGTTCACAGTGGATCAATTTGACTGTGCGACAGCACACTATACAAGCCAAAATAGACTCGAAAATAGGAAATTAAGAAATAATACACTGCGATAATAGCGCCCCTCGTTTTTTCCTAATTCCTTATGTTCGACATTCATTTTGGCTTGTCGAAAGTCGACAAGACGGTACACAATCCAAAATGAAAGTCGAAAATAAGAAATTAGGAAAAAACTAGGGGCGCTATTATGGCGGTGTAATATTTCTTAATTTCCTATTTTCGAGTCAATTTTGGCTTGTATAGCGTGCTGTCGCCTCACATTTTGTCGTAACCTGTACTTTTCGACTTTCGTGTTTTGAAGGGACGAAAGGTAGAAATTACGAATGGTAGTTATAGGCTTCTATATATATCCTTACCACTTCAATTTCAACTTTTCACAAATGAAGAAGCTGCGATAAAGACACTGCTGGTCATTGAACAGGGACCATCGTTACCGCTTCAATTTCAACTTTTCACAAATGAAGAAGCTGCGGTAAGGACATTGTTGGTCATTGAACATAAATGGCCCGAATTCCAAACAATGTTCGGCATGAAATGAATTGCTGGGATTACCCTCTTCCCAATGGTTGCTTTGTAGTGGAGATCCATCATTCCAAATCCATTCACCTTCTGCTTTTAAATCATTCCCACCAATCCAATAAAGATGTCCTGAATTACAAATAAAATGAAATGGGGTTTAACATTCTGTTAAGGGTTCTTTTACGTACACTCCAATGTGTACACGGCTTCTCTCTCCACGCCTCCCTGAACCAGTGATAAGGGGAAACCACTCCAGAAGATTCTGAGGAACTTTCTCGGCCAACACCGGGCGCGAACCCGAGACCACTTGGTTAGTGAGTCATCGCCTTACTGACTGGGCCACGAAAGCTCCCCGAATTGCAAATAAAATGAATACTATAAAGATTGCGATATAATTGATGTTATTATTTCAATTAACATTTGAACAGCAATGTAATAAGCGAAAGATATTGGGACTTGTTTGGACCTGTAACCTCAAGGGTATCCTCCGAGAACCTCCACATCCTTACGATATATATGAATTGTGCGAAATTCTACCGAATTTGTAAATTGCATAACAAACCAGCGGTTGCCATGCACGATGAGCCAACAGACTTCACTTAAATTTAAAAACAATCAGGAATATAACCCAGAGAAACCATTGTGTAATGCCAGCATGAGTCATGATCTGCTATATGTTACAAGAAATATGAATATAAGCATTAAAATTTAACCATACAAGTAACCACATCGATGAAATGTATACTATTCCAAAAAAGTAGGGGATATTTGATTTTTAAGTGTTATTAAAGTCACCTAATGAAACTGACGAAGAAACAAATGACAAAATGAAATGAAGTTCACATTCATCGATTTATTCCAAATGATCGTTAGACTAAGTAAGGCACAGACTGACCATTATAAGGGTAACATGATACCCGGGGTCAAACAGCAAAGTTACCACAGCATCACAACCAAGTCAGTAACGGGTAAATCCTCCTCTGTTTGCCAAACAAGCATTGATCCGACGTGGCATACTCCTAATGAGACGTCTAAGGTCATTTTGGTCCAGATTGTCCCATTCCTGTTGCAACGCAGCAGCAAGTTCTTGGACATTGGCAGGACGTTGTTGACGTTGACGTAACCTCTGTCCAAGCATGTCCCAGACATGCTCGATGGGGGAGAGGTCGGGACTCAGTGCTGGCCAAGGTAATGTGGTGATGTTCTGTTGTTGGAGGTAACCTGTAACGATCCTGGCCCTGTGACATCTTGCGTTGTCATCCCGGAAGATGAAACGGCGGCCATGACGTCGTGCGAACGGCACAACATGGACTGCCAAGATGTTGTCCCGGTAGTACTGGCCTGTAACACGCCCTGCAACAACATGTAAAGCCGTTCTTCCAGCAACAGTGATGCCTCCCCACACCATAACAGAACCACCCCCAAATCGATCATGTCTGATGACGTTAACGTCTTGGAAGCGCTCGTTTCGACGACGCCACACCCTCCTACGTCTGTCCAAAAAATCAACAGTGAACCTTGACTCATCTGAAAACATCACATTGCTCCAGCGTCGATTATCCCAGTGTTGACGATCACTACACCAACGACGTCTTGCCTGAATGTGATGATCTCTCAAACAAGGGATCACGCGAGGACGTCGGGCGCGAATGTGACCCCTATGCAGTCGATTCCGAATATTCTGGCCACTCACTCTCACACCAGTGTCTGTTTGAAGACGAGCGCTGATCTGATTTGCTGTGATGACACGATTTCTCAAGGCCAAGGTACGGATAAATCGATCCTGGGCTTGAGTTGTCGCCCTTGGTCGACCTGAGCGTGGTCTGTCCTGTACAGATTGTGTATCACGGTATCTGGACCATAGCCTGCTTATGACAGACTGAGAAACATTCATCGTCCGCGCCACAACCGCCTGTGTTGTGCCGATCTGTAGCATGCCAAGGGCACGTAACCTTTCATTTTGGGTAAGCCGACGCATATCAAAATTGTTTTCTGGTCACTAAAACAATTAAACTGATGTTTCCACCCTGGAATTCAATGCCACAATGACTGTAACATTCAAAGTCAGAGTCGTGCAAATCTTGGGTTGGACCCCCATGATGATCCCAAGCATCACCTGCATTCCATGCGGATTATTGGTGCGTTTGGGCGTCACATGTAACCGGAAATGTTTCTTCTGTTAGGTTCTATAGTGACTTTTTTCGTAGTCATTTGCATATTTTAGTATTATGCCCCCAAAATCAAATATCCCGTACTTTTTTTTGAATAGTATATTATAAAACAGGTAGTCTAAAACTAAATGCTCTAAGTCAATTAAGAAACGTTTTGGTATTCAATATGCAAACAAACGGTTGCCTAGCAAGATACGCCCATAATTTTCAAGAGATGGACAGAGAACCTCCAGAATGTCCACGACTTTTGTATTACATACTTTTACACTATTTGCATACGAGGAGCAGTCATTTGTTCGGGCAGTTCTGTTCCAATGTTTAAGAAATTGAAACTCAACCGCCATTAGTGTGTAACGGTGATATATGTGAACGGTTTTTAAATTCAGATAAAAAATTGTGACCTCAAGAGTGACTATAAGCTTTAAACGTGATCTGTCATTCAATCAGGGGCTATAATCCAGGAAGTTACAGGCCGATATGTCATGTGCCAATATTGACAGGAACCGAGGGATTGTTGGGTTGTAAACATACATTTTAATTTTAAGTTTCATCGAAATCGGATAAAAATTGTGACCTCTAGCGTGTCCACTTTAGCGCCTCCTAAAGTTGACGTGATTTTTCGTACATTTAGGGGTCATAATCTATGAAGTTCGTTCAGATACATATCGAAAGGAACCGAGATATTTAGGAGATAAACCTATATTTAAAGTTTGAATAAAATTTGTGACCTCTAGCGTGTACACAAACAAATTTTGGACGGACGGACAGGGGTGACTACAATATAAATCCACATGAAATTGTGGGCCTCCAACAACAATCTGCGTCCCGCATCTTTTTTACATTTTGATATTAAATGTCATAGCGAAGTCAGTCATGGAGGTGAGCGGGAGAGCAAGCCAAAGGCGTGTAATGTTCTATTGATGCATCGCTGAGCGGAGTGGATGTATACAAATCAACCAACCTCCACCGTACTGCTCTATCACTTCTTTTTTCAGGAAGAAATCTTCAGACTTCATGGTGAGAAGATGACCCCCATCTTGATTACACGTTTTGTTAGCGCTATACCAAGTTGTCGTCGTCTTGAACATTCTCATACAAGACCTTCCGCCATATAAAGGATATCCAACAATACTACAGCTATCTGTTCAAATAAATAAATTGCAATACCTATTTCATGAGAGAGTACTAAATCTGCATGATCTGTTTTTATCTATGTTCCAAAGACCAGATATCGAATGGAACAGCATGAGGAAAAAGAATTTGCCTTTGTTAACATTTTACATCATTGTTAGGCATAAGCAAAGATGCGTTCAAAGATCGACTTAATACACAAAACAAGAAATTAAAATAGTGAACACATCCGAAACAAAGACGTGGTGGCTCAGTCAGGAAAGCCCTTGGCCACCAACTATGCAGGGGTTCTCGGGTTCGCTCCCTGTTTTAGCCGAGCAAATTTCTCAGGATATTCAATCGTGGTTTCCCGTTGTCAGTGTTGCAGAAACGGGGGCTTGGCAAGGAACAGTCTCTAGCAATTTAGATGGGTCAAACAACAGTTGCACCTAAATTAACATCGACAGTTAGATTCCGAAAAAGAGTCGGCTGTAGAGTCGCTGTCCGGGCAAATTTTCACTCATAACAGGTTAGAGTATAAAAATAAAAATTGGATCATTTGTTTTACATCCACTTTTTTTAACCTTACCTGTCCAGTTCTCGGATCCATAAAATGTTGTAATATTGATTGATCCTATTCCTGGATAATTCAGAATATAACACGTGTTGGAATCGTAGTGAAATAATTCACAATCGGGTGTCGATGTACATCGTTCACCACATACGATACCAGAAACACCCTTTATTGAAACAGTATAATCCATGATGGCAGATCCGTCTAAATTCACT